ATTGTCCATGCCCTACCCTTTGCTAACTTCCTTCGCGCTGCCGTTGTCGGCCGCCTCCTCCACAATCCCGGGCCGCCACTTACTTACGTCGTCGTAGTAACCGGTGTCGTTCACATTGGCCTCCCAATATACACGGTCATCATCGTTAGCCTGCCCAGAATTCATAGCAGCGGCGTTCTTTGTGTCGGCGTCTAGCCTGTTCTTCTTTGCCCAGTCCTCGCACTGAACGAAGAGCTCTTGGCATGTGTCGATGTTCAACGACTCTGGGGATTTGAAATAATTTTGCTGCCAATCATCCAACCAGTCACCGGCGTGGGTCATGATGCTTCTCGGGGCTGTAGCCCTGAACGGCAGCGGTGACGAATAGGCTGGCCCATACTTGCTCAGTGATTCTACTAACGCGCTCCACTGTTCAAGCTGCACGGCCAGCTCATTCAGTTTCTTCGGCATTTCGGATATCATGGTCAAGTTCATTTCGTGCGAAAGTGTAACCCGGGTACCCGAATAATGCTACTTGTAGATTTCTTGAAGGGCCATTTAGCCATCTTTTTCGTGCATGCCCATAAGCCTCCCCTGGGGTTCTGTTCCCACTGTTTTGTCGTTTTACAAATGCCAGAGGTCCTCGTTCAACTTGGAATAATCCTCTCTCTCCAACTCCTATTCCCCTTTTGGTCTTCACCCCTTCCTTTGTTTCTCGACGCTTTGGTGTACTCGCTCAGTTTTAAGCCGCCGGTCGTGATCTTTATCAAGTCGTCCTCTTCGTTCTCAAAGAATGCTCAATCCATGTTTTTGAACTTGTTGTTCAAATTCGTGAAGGCTCCTTCAACCGTGCTTCACTTGTGCGAGCGCATTCGACAACCCTGTGTTCCATTCTTAAAGTCTGGTCCTGTCACGTGAAAACGTTTAGAACTGTTTAACACCCTTGTATTCACTCTCGGGCTTGTTTCCGCCTCCGCCAACCCTGCCGTTTCCTGCGCACTGTTGCCTCAGCGATCTTGGTAACGTGTTCCGACGTATTCGCTGGATGTTAACATTATGTCCCCACATACTCCTTCAAAGTTGTTGAACTGTTCCTCACAACGCAAGTTGCGATTTTTAGCAGAGATCAGGAGAGCATCGTGTTGTAGCTCATGGTGCCCTGTGTGGCACGGCGCTCGAACAATAACTCGTGCCTTCGTGATTGGCTGTGGACGCCGTGCTCACGTACCTGAAGTCCCCGTTCTCGTACTCCGCGTTGCACACCTCTGCGAACAACTTCGTGTCCAGGTTGTACCAGGCTTCGCGCACATCAGGTAACGACACATCATAACCCGGATCGTTGGTTTCAGAATTCTTGGGGGGCAGCTGCAACTGCCGCCGCCGCCATCTCTGCTCTGGCGCCCGTGGGGCGAACCGCGGGCTCCGCTACCGCGAGAATCTGGCAAGACCCCTCTTGCGAGAAGGCGGAAGGCGACAACACTTGAGCCAAACATTTGCGGCCTACAACTGGCACGCACCACTAGATTTCCCGGCAGACGATCTATCCTGCTCACCCGTCGGAACGCTACAATCTAACACCTCCTCTTCCTCCTCCTTCTCCTCCTCCTCGTTCTCCTCCTTCGCTCGTCCCTCTCCATGTCTCCTCCTCCTCCTCCTCCTCCTCATCCTTCCTGCTGCAACTGCTGCTGCAGCTCCTCCTTCGATCTCCTCCCGTCCTCTGCCTCTCCACTTCGCCACTTAGTCGGTGCCCTTCTGGTTTCATTGCGCGCTGGGCCAAGGAACGACCGTATTCGTCCGCGCCCGAATTGTCTGCCAATGCCACTCCCCACTATTGCTTTGCATTCTTTTTCCTCGAATAGACAAGGGGGGGAAGGGGGGATGCTGATGATGGGGATGATGATGCTGATGATGCTGCTGATGCTGATGAGGAGGAGGAGGAGGAGGAGGAGGAGGAGGAGGAGGACGAGGAGGACGAGGGGGAGGACGAGGAGGAGGAGGAGGAGGAGGAGGAGGAGGAGGAGGAGGAGGAGGAGGAGGAGGAGGAGGAGGAGGAGGAGGAGCGAGGGCGGGGGTGCCGGTTTCCGCGATGGCGACGCCGTCGTTGTCCAGCATGAGCGCGTCACCCTCGCGCCGTTGTCAGGGCGGGGGTGCCGGTTTCCGCGATGGCGACGCCGTCGTTGTCCAGCATGAGCGCGTCACCCTCGATGACGCCGTTGTCTGCTGGGTCGTAGTCGGGGAAGAAGGCGCCGTGGGCGGAGGCAGAAGAGGAAACGCCGTCGTCGCCGCCGGACGCCGCCTGCGTCACGGGGTCGAAGGGCGCGTGGTCTGGGAAGGCGCCCTCGACGCCCGCGGAGGCGCCGACGGGATCTTCGGCATGATGAAGATGAGCACACTCCTGGAGCGAGGCGGCAATGATCACCTGGTTGCCGAAGGTAGGGTCGACATCGTCCTCCATGTCTCGCATCGTCGCGTCCCCGGCCGCGAGGAGCTCGAGAAAGACAGGCTCATCATCAAAAAGTTCCTGAACACCCGGGCCAGGGAGAAGTAACAGTTCAGCATCATATGGTAGTTTATCATCTGCACCCAGGAGGCAAGCAGGGTTGTTTAGCATCCACCGAATCATCTCCTTTTCTTCCGCGGAGATCACAAGGTCCGGGGTGTCCGGGGTACGCTGCGCATACTCGATCTGCTGTTCGGAAATCGCATCAGGAGGAGCTGGGGCCGCCGCATGTGCCGTTGTCATGGGGCTCGCTGCCACAAGGCTTATCGATGATGTTGCCGACGAAGTCGGGCGCGGGTCCATGCCATGAGCAAGGATCTCAAGTGCAAGTTGTCGCGCAAGAGATGCGGGCGGCAGTGGCCCTGACATAATGCCAAATGGCGGCGTTCTCATGGGCCAGCTGTAATGCGTGAGTCGTGGTCGGGCGAAGAGCTCCCCAATGAGCTCGAGGAGCAGGTTCGTGATGCGCAGGTGCGGCCTCAGCGGGTCTCTCATCTCAACCAGGTCCTCCATGGGCATCGGCGGCTCCCTCATCATCTTCGCGAACATCGTCAGCTAGAAGAAGTGCGCCAGGATGCGTCGGCAGCGAAACCGCAAGCTCGCGGTGGGAGCCAGAGAGCGCGAGGTTCGCGTCGATGCGGCTGACGACAGCCCCCAGTTGCGCAGAAGCGAGCGCAGCAGAGCCGTGGGGCCCAGCAGCAGGAATGCCCAGCCAGCCGAGGGCCTCGTGGATGTCTTTGCGGAGGAACTTGAGAGAGGCCAGGATCTGGTCAGAGGGGCCGATGGACGTAGCACCCTGGCGAGCTGGCTCAGCGCCCGCATGCCCAGTGCCCGCAGCAGCGGGAACCATCACCGCATGCCCAGTGTTAGCGGCAGCGGTACCCAACCCACCCATTGCGCGCCCGGCGAGAGGAGCAGGAAGGGGGTTGTCCAGAATCCATGATGGGCAGGTGGAGGCAGATTTTCAAGCGGAGCTCCGAGCACAGGTGGTGCAGCACCCACGTGTGGAACAGGCGGAGCAAGTGGTGCCTCACCACCATGTGGCCCCTCGGGCACCGCGCGTCCAGGTAGGTCGGGAGATGGCTCTTGGCGAAGAATGACCGCCGCTGCGCCGCCGACGGAGCCGTCGGGATAGATGACGCCAAATCCGTGCATGGCCATCAGCCGGTCAAACTCATCATCGTCCTCGCTGGAGTTGTCCTCGGGCCGATCGCTCGCAGGAGTAGGCTCTGACGGCAGCGGTGGTATGTGCGATGAGCTGGAATTGCGGTCGACGTCAGTGCCATCGGGAAGCTCGCGTGAACGACGATTGGCCCGCTGCGCATGCGCCTCGATCTCCTCGTTAGTGAGGATGGGTCCGAAGTGATATGAGTACTCATCGTTCTCCATCTCCGCGTCGGAGATGGGCTCGAAGGGGTCTACGCTAGACGACCTGTCGCAAGGGTCGCCTTCTGCCATCATCGCTAAGTCCACGTCAATGGGATTGGGGGCGCCATTCAAGTCGACGCTGCCGTCATCTTCGTCAGGGAGGGGCTCAGCCGTAGCCAGTTGGCCCAGCGACTGGTCCGCCAGCAAGTGAAGCATCGTAAATAGCTGAAACAGGGCAGGCGGCAGCGTCACCAAGGGCGCCAAGGTGAACTGCTGCATGTAGTCGTCCGTCTCTGATTGCGGCATCCTCGTCGGGTCCGCGCGCCACCCGCGTTGGCGAAGATGGGCGAGAGCATGGCGCTGAAGTTGGAATGGGCGAAGATCATCGCGACCGAGCCACTGCTCACGAAGGCGCCGCCGCAGTTGTTCCCTTGGAATGGCGCTGTTGTGCCAGCCGCTGAGACGCATGTCGATCGCCAGATCCCTCCTGGCTTCCGCGCTGCCGCGGAGGTGCTGGAGCTCGGTGCACCGAAGGACGTCCGAAACATATGGGGCGCTCCACTGCGCCCGCTGCTCGAAATCGCTGCCCGCCATTTTCGTGAAGAGTGATGGGGGCCAGGGGCGCGCCCATGCCGCAATCCTGGCAGCAAGTGCCGGGCGCTGCGCCACCTGCGGAAAGCCTGAAGAGGCAGCCGAGGGCACCAAGGGCTCGAGGAGCGGGGGCAGCTCGAAGTCCATCTGAGTCGCGTTCGCGGTCTCCTCCTCGTCGCTGTTCCCCCTTCCGTCGATGTAGTCGTGGAGCCCAAGAAATCGATCGCGGTTTGGTAGTGCTGGAGGGCTTGCCGAAGGCCGCTGCGATGATGGACTCGGGGTTGAGAAGTGTGTAGGGCGGAACTGAACACCACTGGTCGCCGCCGCATTCTGATATAATCCCAAGCGCAAGCGCGAGCGTGCGCCATCTCGATGGGCGCCGCGGTTTGAGCCGCAACGCCTGTCGGGCGCGCATCGAAGCAAACCGGTGCTCAAGGGCATCTTGAAACCGCTCTTGACCCAGCAGCACGTCCCTCCACATCGCAGTCAGACGCGATACCGATGGCGGCGATATGACTGTCCAGTGCGAACGCAGCGTCGACAATGCCTAGGAAATCATGGCACGGAGCTGGTAAAGCTTGGAGGCAATGGCGATGATGACGCCGAGGCCGAGGTAAAATAATAATACTTGGAAGAGGGAGACGAGCTGCAGGTCTTGCGGACGGTAGCGGGGCGGCGCCTCTGTGGCCCCTTTGACGCAAGCGGAGCGTCCCGCTAACATATTTATAATACATCACGACAATATCGAATACTACCTTGTGCATTTCGGCTGCTGATCCAGGAGGCCCCAAGCGTCCAAGTGGAGTAGCAGGTCTTGAATATCCCAGTTCATGCTCTGTCAGTTCTCGCATCCGAATCTGCAGATAAGTCGGACATGTGGCTGCAACACCCGATGGGAGACGTAGACCACCCATTGGCCACTGTTTTGAAATACGCAAAGGACCACGGAATACAGCATCCACGTAAGTAGCGTAAGATGTGATCCCAACGGCGCTGTGGAGGAACAAGAGTGCGCCCATCGCGATACATCTATGGGAAGTGCTTGATAAGCCGAGACATGAAACAGTTCCGCAAGGGGTGAGGTGAAAGTCGCTGCTTGATCACCAAAGTGCTGCATCTCTGAAGGCCTGTGGTGCGCGAAGGTCTCTCCAGCCAATCGTGCGCTGCGGACCGAGCCGCCGCCAATCGCTCGTAGGTCTAGTCGGGATGGGCGGAGGAACATTCGCCAGCGTGCACTCGGGATACGGTCTCGAGGGAGGCCTCAGATTTCCAAGAGTGGGGGTGCGGCCGTGATGCCGCCGAGCTACTCGGGGATAGCGCTCGCCAATCACCGAGACGGTCATGTTGGCGACACATCCATTGATGAAGGCGCTGGTATTCAGGATGGCTAGAGCAAGCAGTACGGGTATGCGCCCCAACGCTCATAGCGAGCCAGGATGGGACCGAAGGTCCGCCAGCACCCCGAAGTTGAAGCCAGGCCGACATGTTGAAGACGCCGAGGGGGGCGCGGAATGTTCGCGCAAGCGCCACTAGTTCATCGCGCAAGAGCCATCTGGGCATTATCCGGAACTGGGCCACATTGGGGAGGGCGGGCGTGATCCAGGTGGCGCAGTTGGAAGCCAGCCTGGAAACCACAAGAGGACTGCCCCCCACCATCTTCGATCTGAGCTTGACTTTTAAAGAAGGAGCCAGCCGGCATGAGCTCTCGTCCGCCGCGGGGCCCATGACCAGCCCGAGGTAGACCGAGGTACTCGCGACCTGAATCTGCGCAAAGACGGGGGCGATGGTGGCGATCGCAGTGCGAATTGTCTCGGCCAACTGCTCGGTGAACGGCGCATGGGGCGGAACAGGCGTGCACTTGGTCAGCTTGAGCGATGGGGTAGCAACCGCCCCCGCAATTCGCATGGCGTCGGCTACGGCCCGAAGGGCTTGCAGCTTTTTGACCACGCAACCAATGTCAGCGGCGCAGGCTCGGGCAAGCCCCAAGCGTTCGCCTTCCAGGCGCTGTTGAAGATCAAAGAGAAAGCACGCCGTCACTGCCGCGTATACGGAACTGCTTAGAGGGCACCCCTGAATAATACCAGAAGAGATACGCCGTGCAAAGGTGGTCTGTCCATTGAGCATGACGATCGCATCCAAGATGTGGTAGAGCTGCTCGAGGACAGTCATGAAAGCGAAGGGGGCGTTCATCTGCCGAAACACCACTAGCATGAAAGACTGTGCCAGGCTCGGAAAGGCCGCGCCATAGCCCAGCGCGACAAGGGATGGAATATCACTGCCAGCTGAAGGTGAATTGGAGTACGCGCGGACCGCATCGTCCAGCTCCAAGATGTTGATGCCGAAGTTCCGCTTCGGGATGAAGCCTCTTTGCAAGCGCGGAGCCAGGCCGTCAGAAGCTTGCTGACCTGGATGTTGATTGTCGCCGTGATCAGTTTGATGTCCGTGTTACGAAGACCGAGCACTCGAACAGCGCTGGGAGCACGAGCGCAGCCAGATGCCATGGAGTCGTCCACCTCCTCACCTTTTGGGAGCCAAACTTGAGGTGCATCGTTGGAGCTCTTGAACAATGTCTGGCCCTGCATGGTCCACATCGTCGCATCTGCCAGCACCTGGGTTCCAGTAGAGGTCGCGGCCCAGGCTGAGTGCGGGGTCGAGTCCAGGCCAGGCTCCGAATAGTGCATCTCATGCGCGACCCGACGAAATAGGGCAGGGGATGGAGGGGCGACCTTAGAGAAATCCAAAGCGGAGCCATGCTGCTCTATGTATGATTTCGCAAGGTTAACGTCGATCGGCTTCGCGCTGAAGATCGGGGCCCAATGCTCGATCAACCGCTCCGTCATGATCGCCGAGTCGCTCGAGGCGCTGGTCGGGCCCGAGGGATGCTAGACGGCGCGCAAAACCAGCCTGCGGTTGAGAGGGGGCCGGGTCCCTGAGCGCCGTCCGACAGCAGCAAATTAGCGCCGGAGGGTCTGAGGGGCGCGCGGCCGTGCGAGGCGCTTCTCTAGCCGAGCCCGAAGTCCCTCAGCGTGACGCCGTTGTACGGTGTCGCTCCAGTGCTGAAA